GACATATGCGCTTTTGAGTCTTCTGCAAGACTGTAGTCTTCCGTAGTAACAGTGTGAATGGGACCTTAATGGGCACTCATTGTTGTCATTGTTATCTTGGAATTAGTTTGAAGCAAGTCTGTGAAAGCAAGCATGCAGCTAGTGAAGGGCAAAATGCTGTCCTGTATACTTGTTCCAGAGCACCAGTATGGCGAAGTAGAGTTGGAATCCATTTTCCGTGGAGGTTCCACCTTAGAAACTAGTTGATGGCTCCATATTTTTTTTGTGGTTTTGTTTTTTGTGGGTTTTGTTGTGATTTGTTTGTTGCTTTTTTTTTGGGGGGGGTGGGGGGGCTCTTTTTTTGTGGGTTTTGTTTGTGGTGTTTGTTGTGTTTTTGTTTTTTTGGTGGGGGCTTTTTTTGTGGGTTCTTTTTTGTGGGTATTGTTTTTTTTGTGGGGGGGTTGTGTTTTTTTGGGGGTCCTTTTGTGGGTTTTGTTGTGGTTTGTTTTGTGTTTTTTTTTTTTTTTTTTTGGGGGGGGGGGGGGGGGTAGGTTTGTGGGGTTTTTTTTTGTGGGGGTTTTTTGTTGTTTTTTTGTGTTTGTGGGTTTTGTTTGTGGCGCTTGTTGTGTGGTTTTTTGTGTGTTTTTTTTTTTTTTTTTTTCCTTGTTTTTTTTTTTTTTTTTTTTTTTTTTTTTTTTTTGTTTTTTTTGTTTGTTTTTTTTTTGTTTGGTTTGTGGGTTCTTTTTTGTGGGTTTTTTTTGTGTTTTTATTTTTGTGGTGTGTTTGCTTTTTTGTTTGTTTTCTCTTTAGGGGAAACTACATAGAGAGTGCATTGCTATGTGCCTTGAAAATGCTAGTTTATTGGTCTGTTTGAATTTGGCACTTTCAAAGAACTACTGAAGACTTTTGCATGACGATCTCTAAGGGCTCATGTACACTGCAGCTGATAAACTGATGTTCAGCAGCTTTTCTACGATTTTTTTTTCAGCAGCCCCTGAACTCTCCCTAATGTTTTCCTATGTGTCCATGTACACATCGTCGTTGAGTTTACAGTTGTTTTTTTTTTAACGCACCAAACGTGCGTTCAGGAGAAGATTTTATCAGCGTCTCAAACGCTTGTAAATGCGGCTAACCGCGTTTATAAGCGTTTGCGTTTATAAGAGTTTTTTAACTGTTCCATGCCCAGATGCTGTCCAGAGCCTTTTTTTTCATCATCAGAAATGAATACAAAGTGTTTTCCATGTATTCAAATGGACCCGGTACACCAGCGCAGTCAGTTCCAGGTTTCGCGTGAAGGAAACAATGGCAGAACGCGCCGCATTATGCTCATGATGGGATCCATAGTGAATACAACCAGAAAAGACAGGTCATCTCAATACATACTGCTCTCTCTGCTTCTACTCTCTCTATTTCTCTCAAAATGTCTCAAATAGTTTTTTTTTTTTTTTTTACTGTTGCTCAGTGCATTCTGTGCATTTTGGAAGGTCTCCTGATGTTATCTTTAAAAAACACTTCTAAATGCAAATGCGTATAAACTCAGTATGCAAACGCGGCTAAACAGAATTTTTTAACCTACGTTTTCCAGCAGTCAGTTTCCATCGTTCAGAAGTGTTTTCCAAACGTCCCGTGTATAAGGAGCCTAACCCAGTACCGAATCCAGTTACTATGTGATATTCAAGCCTCATAAAGTAAACAAAAAAAACCTCCCCTGACTAGGCAAATCCCTCCTTCATTTGAGCCTCAAGCGCTCCCCATCCTGAGACCCTGCAGCCCCCAGTAGGCAGGTTTCAGAAACGGCCAGTGCTGTTAATCCAGCAAGCAGTGGACAGGAATAGGTGTGGTCAGGTGCTGCTTGATAAACTACAGTCTTGTGAATCAGCAGTGACAATGCTGACATCCATGCCCCCTGCTACATCTACTATGGTGGAATGAGGGTGGCAACTCTGCTGTGAGTTCAGCAGCAGTGCAGCATTGTTGCCACACCATCAGAGGAAGCTGCATTAGGTGAACATAAGTGATATTTGTGGGGCTTTGAGAGGGAACAAAAAAGACATTGGGGCAGAAAAGGGCAGATGTCCTTATCATTAGTTGTTGCATCACAGATTTTTTTTTTTTTTTAAACATGATCACAGAGTTCTACTTTAAGGCTCTGACATGGAACAAGCATACAGCAACCAAGGAGTGATGTCAGAACAACTAATCTGTTGACCTACAGGTACTTTAGGTGGATTTATGACAGCCAGGGAACTAGTATTTTCTAAGAACTAATAATGCTATGAGATTGCGTTTGAAGGGCTCCACAGCTGTAGTTGGATTTCAGATGTGGGGAGTTGGCTGCTCATGAGTCAAGTGGAGGTTTATATGAGGGATTTGGGGGATCACATGTTTGCTTTAAGAAAAAGGTTTGTACAAAAGTAAGTTTTACCGTAATAATTATACAATAAAACAAAAAAAAAAAAAAAAAAGTGTAGGGAGATATAAGGAACTGCATTGTTGAGCACCTTGTGACAGTGCTAGGCTCTAGACCAGTGGTTCTTAACCTGGGTTCGATCGAACCCCAGGGGTTCGGTGAGTCAGTCTCGTGGGTTCGGTGGAGTTGAAGACCCACACCCGACTCATATGATTCGTGCAGTAAATATTCATTATTATGTTTTTGTTTTTGTGTGAAAATCATGTTTTAATGGTTTTGTTCTTTGTTCTTAACGGTTTTGTTCATTTTGTGCACCTATGTATAAATATATACCTAAATATATACATATGTTTTGAATTTTAAAAATCATATTTTATTTTTCCAATTAAGAAGGGTTCGGTGAATGCGCATATGAAACTGGTGGGGTTCAGTACCTCCAACAAGGTTAAGAACCACTGCTCTAGACTCACTGACTCTAAATAAACATGCAGTCGGTAAATTCCAAACTCTTCATCCCCATCATTGATATGGGTTACTGGGCCAGGAAGTTTTGGCACCAGAGCCACCCAGGCGACTTCAATCTTTAGAAGCTTAGGCTGGCCATAAATTATACAATTGTTTTTAGATTTACCAAAAACCATATAATATGAGGTCAAACCTAAACAACACTTTCAATTGTATCCAATTAGGTGGGACCTTGCGCTACATAGTTGAAGTTAAATCTAAAAGAAATTGAGTAGAAATTGGACATAAAAATGTATAGTGTAAGGCCAGCCTTAGCAATATCGGTACATAACTGTGTATCGGCACAAAAACTTGATGGGATTCCAAAGACATGGAGCGTGGGCCTTTGGAACTGAATAATGGGCAGACATGCTTCATTTTATTCTTATACTTTATATATTTCATCAATATTCATGTGAAAATATCAATTTTTCTGCATTTCTTGACCTTGTGTAAGTATAATGCTACTAATTATACTAAAAAAAGATTGTCATAAGACCATGTTAATAATTATTTGAATGTTCTCGTTATGAAGACCAGCCCAGACTACGTTACTGGTTTCCTGAATCTAAAGCACCCATGAAGACCAGACCAGACCAGACCATACCATGCTACTGATTTCCTGAATCTAAAGCACCCATGAAGACCAGACCAGGCTACTGGTTTCCTGAATCTAAAGCACCCATGAACACCAGACCAGACCATGCTACTGGTTTCTTGAATCTAAAGCATCCATGAAGACCAGTCCAGGCCATGCTACTGGTTTCCTGAATCTAAAGCACCCATGAACACCAGACCAGACCATGCTACTGGTTTCCTGAATTTAAAGCATCCATGAACACCAGACCAGACCATGGTACTGGTTTCCTGAATCTAAAGCATCCATGAAGACCAGTCCAGACCATGTTACGGGTTTCCCTAATCTAAAGCACCCATGAAGACCAGTCCAGGCCATGCTACTGGTTTCCTGAATCTAAAGCATCCATGAAGACCAGTCCAGACCATGTTATGGGTTTCCCTAATCTAAAGCACCCATAAAGACCAGACCATGCTACTGGTTTCCTGAATCTAAAGCATCCATGAATACCAGTCCAGACCATGTTACGGGTTTCCCTAATCTAAAGCACCCATTTAGACTGTAAAAGGAGGAGCTGACCAAGACATGTCCCCACTTTAGAAGAAATTGAACTTTGGAATTTGTTTTGGATCCTCGGGTAGTAAGGGATGGCCTCCATGCTCCTATAATGACGGTCATGGAAATCAAACGTTTACCTGCCTACATGCATAAAATATTTGTTTGACTTGGTAGTTAATGGTTTGATTAGGTGGTCTTTCTGTTGGCCCTCCCCAGCAGGGGATGTTTGGTTAACATACTACCTCAAAATAAGCCAGTGTCCCAAGTTCCATAGGCCAGGAATGCACTTTGCTGATGTAGCCTGATCATTCATGCACTGCCAGCCACCAACTGAAGTTTGTAGGCACCGTAATGTGAACCTTTGCTTTGTTGATGCTTGTTAAACAAGTTGACCTAAATGTTCCCCTTCCGCACCTTCACTTTGCTCCCCACCAATCAATTTAACTGCCAGGAGCAAAAAAAAAAGGCAAGTTGGTTTTCCAACTGGAGCTTGGACTCTCCCGGACCCCATGTGACAATACTAAACTAACCACCAGTCCTGACACATGAAGCAGGTCACATGTTTCGTATACCCAGAAGGTCTGCATTATTTCTTTGGGCCTTAGCAGAGCAGTGGGTGAGCAAAGGAATGGTAAGAATGAGCTGCAGGAGAGGGGGCTTGAGCAAGAACAGGTTACTACCTGTGGCGTCCTCAAGAGCCTGCTCAGTTTATTGTCAGATCCCCAAGACTTGGGTTATGAAAATTTACTTCTATGGTCAATTCCTGGCTCACCTCCTGCACCTTCGATTGACCAATGAAACCAGCCATACTGTTTAATAGTCAATAGGAAAGCATGAAGCTGGCAGAGGGTTGGGCAGGCATTGATCACAATCATTATTTAGCTGCATTCCAATACCCTCTTAAATCTTGTAGACTTCACTTCTGCAACATCTCCAAGATACACCCGTTCCTAACCTCGGAAAACTACGAAGCAACTTATTCACTCCCTTGTTATCTCTCACCTTGACTATTGTAACTCCCTCCTCATTGGCCGACCTCATCACAGGCTATCCTCCCTTCAGTCTATCATGAATGCTGCTGCCAGACTCATCCACCTTACTAACCGTTCTGTATCTGCCACCCCTCTCTGCCAATCCCTCTACTGGCCTCCACTCAGTGTCTTCCACCCCTCTCTGCCAATCCCTCCACTGGCCTGCACTCAGTGTCCTCCATCCCTCTCTGCCAATCCCTCCACTGGCCTCCACTCAGTGTCTTCCACCCCTCTCTGCCAATCCCTCCACTGGCCTCCACACAGTGTCCTCCACCCCTCTCCGCCAATCCCTCCACTGGCCTCCACTCAGTGTCCTCCACCCCTCTCCGCCAATCCCTCCACTGGCTTCCCATTGTCCAACGGACAAAATTCAAAACATTAACAATAACATATAAAGCCATTTCTAACTCTGCCCCGAATTACATCACCAATCTTATCTCCAAATATCACCCAAACCGTACTCTCCGCTCCTCGCACGACCTCCTGCTCTCTAGCTCCCTTGTCTCCTCCTCCCATGCTTGTCTCCAGGACTTCTCCAGAGCTTCCCCATCCTCTGGAACTCTCTACCCCAATTTATCAAACTATCACCTACTCTGCTCACTCTCTGAAAACCTATCTCTTCAGGGAAGCCTATCCTGCCTTCAGCTAATAATGGAATCTTCTATTCCTCCTACCAGTCCATCCCCCACAGTTATTACCTTTTGTACCACTAGCCCCTCCCTCTTAGATTGTAAGCTCCAAGAAGCAGGGCCCTCCTAACCAGGGGTGGACTGACTATTCGAGCACTCGGGCACTGCCTGAGGGCCTGGGGTCAGTAGGTGCCCCATGAAATGCCCCTGGTACCTTTTTCTAGGCTTTTTTGGGTGTACGTTGAGTGTGGACAAGGACACAGTGGCCCCATGATCCCCTATTGCCCGGGGGCCCCATGAGTTATCAGTCTGCCCCTGCTCCTAACTCTCTTGTATTGAACTGTATTGTTGCTGTATTGTCTTCCTTTATATTGTAAAGCGCTGAGCAAACTGCTGGCGCTATATAAATCCTGTATAATAATAATTAGTTACAGAGCCTTTGCTTCCTGCTTCCTCAGTGGCTGCACTTTAGGCATCCCATAGATGACTCAGTTTTCTCTCCTACAATCTGCCTGCCCATACATAGATAGATTCCTGGCTAGTCCCTGGTGAACTGACCGAATTTCAATCCACGTATGGCCGACTTCACTGCTCCCATTATCTCAATGCAAGTCTAGTGATTGAGCTTGGTCAATAATTTCACTGAATGTAATCTGCATTTTAAGTGGCCTATGCTGTAGTTGACTACCTGAATGACATACAGATCTCCTACATTTTTTTTAACAATAGATATGGTGTGAATGAGGCCTTACATGCTATAAATGAGCATAAAAACTTACGAAAAAAAATGTGCACATTCAACTTCCATAGAATATTTTGGGCCTGTTCACACCATGTGCGTTTTTCCATCCGAGGTCTCTGCAAGGACATAGAGAAAACAATTGCTTTCTAGATAGCCTGTTCACACCACATGGTTGGTGGCTGTTTTTTTTTATGCTCAGAAAAATGCATACACCTTGCATACTTCTGCACAGAAAAAAATACACACATAACATTAATAATGGGGTGCGAAAAGGGTACATAGAAAACAATTGTTTCCTTTGTGCCACTGCAGGGACAGGTGTTGGAATACATAGGTCTCTGCCCATGGTGTGAACAAAGCCTAAGAGGCTGAAAAGCAGGTATAAGACATTATATTTTAAAATACATCAAAACAAGTATTACAATGACCCTTCCTTCTGTGTTTCTGAGCCTCGTTGAGCTTCTCCAAACTTTTCAATCAAAGGGCCAATTTACTGTACTTCAGACTTTAGGGGGCCCGGATTGTGGCCAGTGGGGATAGAAAATGCCTCAGGCCCAATATCAGTGAGAATAAACATGGCCTCAGGGTTGGTGGTCACTAAGAGGATGAGTAGTGCCCTATCATTGGTATTAGTGGAAGGAATAGTACCCCACCATTGGGATCAGTGGAAGAAAAAGTGCCCCATCAGTGGTGTCAGTGGAAATAAAAGTGACCCATTATTGGTGTCAATGGTAGGAATAATTCCCCAAGGGCCAGATGAAGGCTAGCAGAGGGCCGCATCCAGCCCTCCAGCTGCAGTTTGGAGACCTCTGTTCTAGATATTCTTTGAACATCTTCTTTATCTCAAAGAGCTTATGATTTTCACCCATCCATTTCCATGATAAACCGTGTCCTCACATACGCTGAATGCGGCACGAATCGGCTCTGTGAAGGTGGTGGTGAAAGTGTACAAGTGTATCATTGGGTTCCTCTTCTCGTAAAAGGCCAGTTGGCCAGCCTCAAAGTCCAGATGTATTCTCAACCTGTTGCATGAACTTTTCTGAGGCAATGGTGTTACCCTGCTGTCGTGAACAACGCAGTATACATTATTAGACCTGTACAAACACCAGGACTTCTTGTTGTTTCCAATCCACGAGGATATTCCCCTCCTGTCTATACTGGGGTAACACACCCCGACCATCCACCACCCTGCTGAGCTCACCTCCACTTCCCAGTAATGTCTCCCTGAGGACAGGTTCTTGACACTCATCACCTGGCTACACTCAAATCTTTCCAGAGTTTGGAGGTACTCTTGGTTTTGTGAATAGCAAGCCATTTTCATATCATCTGCTATATCAACGTTATTTCCAGCAGTGTTAATATCCAGTAATATGTCGGAGGGTTCCTGCATGGAGAACCATATGTCTGAGCCCAATAAAATACCAGACAGGTCTGTGAATAAGGTCTGTAGGATCACACCATCATCCAGGTCTTTCACAGCATTGTCCTCGTCACAAGCTCCCTCTCTTTCCTTATCTGTCTCCTTGCAAATGTCACCTCTGTCTACATCCCGTAGGAAAGACAATGGATCAGTCATGTCACATAGCTTCTGTATCTGACACATCTTCTGGACCATCTTGTTCTTCTCTATTTCTAGCTGCCAGATGATGTTGGATACTGACTTTGAGATTTGCTCTTCCTGCTTGGAGATCTCACTCAGCACCTTATTTTCTAATTCATCCAGCTGCCTTCTGATTCCACTGATCAAGGTGACAACTTTCACAATTACGGAGGCTGTTTTGTCTTCTACATGCCGTTTGTGGTCCTTTAGACTCTGGGCTCTTTTCTCAGCCTCCTGTATCTCGGAGGTCACTTTCTCCAAAATGTCTCTCAGTTTCTCCTTCTTTTTTCTAGACGCCTCATCCAGTGGCTCCACCGGGTGTCCGATGTGTTCTCCAGCCAGGTGGCAGGTGGCACAGATACAGGTGGAGTCCTGAGTGCAGTAGTAACCCAAGGTCTTCTTGTGCACAGGGCATACAGCCTTCCCCAAAGATGCAATGGGTGCTGCTAACATGTGCTCCACGGGTTTGGCATGTTTCCTCAGATGATCATAACACATGGAGATCTCACACGTGAGGCAGGACTTCACAGCAGGGACAGGAGAGTGGCAATGGGTACAGAAGACCTCAGTCTCTTCCTGTTCTCTCAAAGCCTCTGCTATATTATGTAGCCTGGGGTTTCTTTTCAGTTCCGGCCTCCTCTGATATGTTTTCATACATTCAGGGCATTTATGTGTCCGTATGTGCTCCTGATGGTCCCATGTCTGTGTAATACAGTCTCGGCAGAAGCTGTGTCCACACGGCAGGGTCACCGGGTCCGTGTAGATCTCCATACAGATGGAGCAAAGGAGTTCAGCTTTCAGATCGGCAGACGCCATTGTCTAACCCAGGAAGTAACTCCACACGCTTCCTCCACTTGAGAACAACTTACATTGGCAGTTCAGTGATGCAAGAAAAACTGTTAACCCTCCAACCTCCTGTGCCGAGGTCTGTGAGAAACTGACATTCCTTCCTACAGTATGAAGAGTTCCAGGAGATTACAAACACTCAAGTATTTGTTTTTTTAAATGAAAAAAAAAAAAACACGTTTTTAATTTCAGAGTATACTTAAAGGCAACCCCCCCTTTTTTTTATTTTTTTTAGTTTTGGGTGAAGTGCAGAGGGATTACAACACTTGTCAGTTTTTACTGCTGTCTGTTTCCCCCGTAAGGGAGATTCCCCCTCTCTCTATTTTTCCTATTTACCATTATTATTGAAAGTGAAAGTAAAAGAAAATCCCACATTTTGGGTTGTCCCTAGAAAGGGAATAGTGGGGAAATCTTCCAATGGGGACACTAGTTCTGGTGACCTGGGGGCTCCCCAAAGAATTTCCCTTGGACACAGATGACGAAAAAAAACAATCTGACGGGTTATAACCTTCCCTCACTCTATACAAATATATAAAAAAAAAGTTCTACTTTAAATCTTTATTCATTTCAAAGATGGAATTAACAAAATGGTTATCGTGTTGTAAAGACTGAAGGTTTTATTTACCTTTTATGCCTTTTCTGCAGGAAGGTAAAAAACCTTCAGTGTTCAGCTCCCCCGCAGCCCACCCTGAGCCCTCATGCACACGGGACGTTTGTAGTCCTCATGCACACGGGACGTTTGTAGTCCTCATGCGCACGGGACGTTTTCAGTCCTCATGCACACGGGATGTTTTGTAGTCCTCATGCACACGGGACGTTTGTAGTCCTCATGCACACGGGACGTTTGTAGTCCTCATGCACACGGGACGTTTGTAGTCCTCATGCACACGGGACGTTTTCAGTCCTCATGCACACGGGACGTTTGTAGTCCTCATGCACACGGGACGTTTGTAGTCCTCATGCACACGGGACGTTATTAATCCTCATGCACACGGGACGTTATTAGTCCTCATGCACACGGGACGTTATTAGTCCTCATGCACACGGGACGTTATTAGTCCTCATGCACACGGGACATTTTTAGACCTCATGCACACGGGACGTTTTCAGTCCTCATGCACACGGGACGTTATTAGTCCTCATGCACATGGGACATTTTTAGACCTCATGCACACGGGACGTTTTTAGTCCTCATGCACATGGGATGTTATTAGTCCTCATGCACACGGGACGTTTGTAGTCCTCATGCACACGGGACGTTTTCAGTCCTCATGCACACGGGACGTTATTAGTCCTCATGCACACGGGACGTTATTAGTCCTCATGCACACGGGACGTTATTAGTCCTCATGCACACAGGACGTTTTTAGACCTCGTGCACACGGGACGTTTTCAGTCCTCGTGCACACGGGACGTTTTCAGTCCTCGTACACACGGGACGTATGTAGTCCTCGTGCACACGGGACGTTTGTAGTCCTCGTGCACACGGGACGTTTTTAGCCCTCGTGCACACGGGACGTTTTCAGCCCTCATGCACACGGGACGTTTTCAGCCCTCATGCACACGGTACGTTTTCAGCCCTTAGTCCTCATGCACGCAGGACGTTTTTAGTCCTCATGCACACGGGACGTTTTGATAATGCTGGTAACATTAGCTGTGTAAAGTCATGGTCAGGGGCGGACTGACAACTCATGGGGCCCCCGGGCAATAGGGGATCATGGGGCCCCTGTGTCCTTGCCCAAACTCAAAAAAGCCTATGAAAAAGGTACCAGGGGCATCTCATGGGGCCCCCTACTGACCCTGGGCCCTCGGGCAGTGCCCTAGTTTCCAAATGGTCAGTCCGCCCCTGATCACGGTAAAGAACGGAGCTTTTCAGCTTTTTTTCTAGAATTTTTGCATTACCATTTAGTGGCATTTTACCGTGATTTGCGTTGTTTTCCCGTGTTTTTCCACGTTTGCGTTTTTAGTGTTTTTTTTCACCCAAAAAATATTTTTGGGGGTAAAAAAAAAGTCCAAAAATGCCGGTTTGCGGCGTTTTACTGCTTTTTGCTGTGTTTTTCAGCATTAGAACGTTTTTACAGCTAATAAACTCCTCTAGAAACCCACTAGTTCTGGGTTCTTTTTTTCTAGCCAAAAAACATTGATTCCAGTCTCTATGTGTGCATGGACACATAGGATAACATGCGGGGGGTGCGCAGGAGGTGACACCGAACGCACGGGGGTGACACCAAACCTGCTCCACGAAAAGGTAAGTTGTAAAGCAAGCCGACGATCCCCGCAGGATGGGGGACCATAATGGATTGGAATCTGATCCATTATGCTCAATCTGCAGATTCGTACCATCCTGCGGGGATCGTCGGCATGCAACCTACATGGGGTGACACCGGACCTGCTCCACGAAAAGGTAAGTTGTAAGGAAAGCTGACGATCCCCGCAGGATGGATCGGATCTGCAGATTGGGGAGCATAATGGATCGGAATCTGATCCATTATGCTCAATCTGCAGATCCGATCCATCCTACGGGGATCGTTGGAGGGGGTGTCACTAAGTGTTAACGCACCGGGTGACACCAACCCTAGGGACGCCCCTGGCTGGGGGGTTTACTGGCTGTAGAAAAAAGCCAAAAACAGCCGCTGTAAAAAAGTCAAGTGTGCACGAGGGCTAATACTTACCTGAGTCTAATTCTGAGAGAGCCAAAGTGCTCCCAGGTCTCTCTCTCCTCATTGGCTGAGACACAGCCGGAGAGGTGGGAGTGGGGGGCAGGACACACAGAAGTAGCTTGCTCTGGGGGCACTCAGCAAGGGGAAGGGGCCAGAAGTGCCAGCGGGGGACCTAAGAAGAGGAGGATCCAGGCTGCGGTGTGTGCACAGAGCGGGTAAGTATGACATGTTTGCTATTTAAAAGAAAAAAACAAACCCCCCCCCCAAGCCTTTATAACCGCTTTAATGAAGAACGCTGATAAAGTACTGTAAGTGTAAACCCTAATTTAATGTCATTTAGTTTTTTGCATTGTGTATCACAGAAATTGCCTTTTCTTTTCTAATTAAAATCCTCATTTTCCGTCCTCCTTTGTTGCATATCAGTGCTGCTGATCTCCTGCATCCTCTTTGCATGAACTTCAGGTCTGTATGCACTAACCAAGGCTAGTGCTGGCATAAGGCTGCTTAGGCAGCTGTCTAAGGCTACGTTCACATTAGCTTTGTCAGCAGGCATCAGACAGGCGTTTGGGAAGCGTTTTTAACACTTCTCAAACACCTATGAAAATTCTGCATTTGATTCAGTATTTGGTTGCCTGTGCGGTTTTTATTTTTTGCGCTAAAAAGAAATTTTGAGAACAAAAAAAAATATTTTTGACTTTGCTATTAACCTCCCTGGCGGTATGATTCTTTCCGATTTTTGGTGCTGAAAGCGGTACCATTATTTTGCATGGAAATATGTATTTTTTTTTATTGTAGGCTGTAATTCTTAGGAATAACTCACTGAAATCTGTCCGAACAACAGTCTAGTAAACATCCCGGGGATGATAAAATTTGAAAAACGTAATCATAAATTATAATTTAATAAATAATCATAAAAAATAATAATATAATAATAATAAATTTAATTCAATAATATAATCAAACCAAAAACACTGAAATGTGAAATAGAGCGCCAAGTTCGCACATCGCTGAGCAAAGTCGCAGAATCGTTTTCAGTGTCTGATGATGAATTTCCCCCACGAATCATTATCACTCAATTCTGCAAGTGGTTCTGATTTACTATCGTTGTTCTCTAGCCGGTCTAAAACCGCGTCTGACCTAAAGGGACGCTTTTTGGACGCCATGGACGTTTCTCAGTTTCCAGGCAGAAAGAACAGACAAAAATGCAGGCAGGGCGCCGGACAAAGCACTCGGGACAAAATGTATGTGAAATTGGTTGAAACAGCAATGTTTTACTATGGAAAAGGTAAAAAGAAAAAAAGGACATTTTTTTAAAATTTTTAAATTTCCCGCCGCCAGCGGCGCCCGTACGTCCCGACGTCACAGGGACAGGACACAGAAGCCGGATGCCGGCATCGGCCGGAGGAGATGGCCGGGGACGCTGCAGGGGACACATCGCGGGAGCGCAGGGTAAGGTAAGTGAAGAACAAATGCCGGAGCAGTGCCGCATGGTATTCCCGAGTGTAGCTCGGGGTTACCGTTTGTGGTACTGAAATGTTACCCCGAGCTACACTCGGGAATACCGCCAAGGAGGTTAAACATGTCCAGTAAAAATTAAAAAAAAAAAAATCAATGCAGGGTGCATTCTGACACTGGGGGGGAACTGACTTGGCTTCACTGACATCCCAGTGACACCAACAGTGATCAGTGCTAATAAAAAGCACTGACCTGTGCATCACTGAAAGCACACTGCTTTGTATGGTTGTGCTATGCAGAGCTATACAAAGCAGTGTGCAGGATCTGACAGGGGAGAGATCTGTATTGTTTATACACAGGTCTTTCTCCCCGTCAGTAATACTTGGTGATCACCGGGGGCCCGTGAGTAATCACCAGCTGGGACCCGGTGATTGACAGCTGAGGACACGAAGGGCAGCGTGGGTAGAGCATGCGCACCCCCTACCTGGAATGGGAAAATCACGTATATATACATGATTTTGCGCACCCATGCCGCCCTGAAGCAGTATTTCTGCTATAGAGCAGACAGGAAGCGGTTAAAAAAGCCAATATGAATGGGAGGTTGGAAGAGCGCCCCCCTACATCAGAGCTGGAGGTGCCGTATATGAAAGATGTGGTCTCAGGGGACGTAGAGGGTCCAGAGACAACTAACCTTTTCTCAAAGCTACATTGTAGGCAGAAAATAAAATACAAAAAATGAAAGCAGCTCTGTAAGAATTAATATATTATTAAATATATTTTTACATGCAAGCAGTGTAAGTAACTGTATATGACCCGCTATCAGCCTCCAGCAGTCCATCTACAGCAGAGCTC